TTGACTGTGACCTCAATTTTGACAGTAATGGCCTTTTCCTACCATGATGCCTATACCGACTATCACGTGCCTAGGTTGAAGCCGTAGATTGTGCCGCAAATCTCTGATTTCCGTCCCTGATAGCCTTGGTTAAGTGAGGGATGTTCCCCCTTGTTTTAACACCCTTTGACCTTTTTGACCTCTTGACCCCCAGCTTCGGGCATTCCCAATCGTTTCGCGGCAGTACCCCCCCCCCACATCGCGAATACCGGCACCGTACGTAGAGCGTTAAGATTTGTGCGGGCTCCAAACTGTTGACGGACGCCACGGTAAACGGACGCCACGGTGGACGCCTCCCCACGGCGAATGAACGGCACGATCATGCGCATTCTACAAGCTGCATGACTAGGCTCAGAATGGAGCTAAAAATGGATGGTAAAAAAACGAATTGGTATTTACTACCAGTTTAACGTTGTCTGTACTCTCTTTCGCCCGATGATTTCCTGTAAATGCGGTAAAATGGCCTCCTTCTGCACACACAGTAACCCATGCACGCACGCTGCCGCACACTGACACATAAATATATATTATATAAATATATTATATATAATATATATAAATATATATATAAAAATATAAATATATGATTTATATATTTATGGGAGCCGTTGTCAGTGCGCAGCCTGTGTCGTGCGGTTGTACGTGTGTTGCAGAGGACCGTTCTGCATGGCGATTTACAGGAAATTGTCGGAAATAGTTGCGAGAAAGAAATAGAGAAAGCATTTAGGACTTTGGTGTAAATAGATTTTCGTATTTATTTAGCATTATATTTTAGGCCGATCGGCTACGCCGACCGGTTCCCGCGACGAGGAACTGCTTAGGCTACGCGTGGAATCCACTCTACACAGTGATCTTTGCAACACGTACACGCATGATTGCGCAAACGGCGCTCTGTGATTGCCGGTTGTGTTGTGTGCTGTGAGAGAGAGAAAAGATGAGCGAGAGAAAGTCGGAGGCTAGGAAGTGTGTGTCGCGTGTGTGTGCGTGCTGTGTGTGGGTGTGTGTGTGCACGTCCCTGCAGTTGCGCATCGTGTTGCTGTGAAGAGAGAGAGAGAGAGAGAGAGAGTGAGAGAGAGAGGAGATGGGAGAGAGTAGACGAGATGAGAGAGTGAGAGCAGAGAGAGAGAGGAGAGAGAGAGCCAGATGAGACGGGATACTAGAGAAGCTTGCGAAAGGGACTCCAGGTTGTCCCAAGGCGCTCACTAAGCGTCGCAGAGTCTTGCGCGCAATTCCGCGGCAAGGCCACGCGACCGCATGGGACCGTCGCAGTATGCGGCGCTGGCGCTATGTCGTGCGCCGAATGAATTGGTGGCGCACGGATCCTAGCCTGCCATCGCGAACAGTCCGCAATTTTAGTGTGGGGGACACACCAGGGTAGACATTGTGGGGACGTGAACAGTGAGTCACTTGTATATAAAAACTGTAAACGAGTAATCTGTTCGTAACCCAAGCTGTTCACGCGAAATCACAGAAGAATGTCGAACTCTGCATTCGGGAACCTTGCCCCCGAATGGATAACGGCTTGTCAGAAGCACGAGAAACACCTACTCGGCGCTCTTCGCGCCCCAACGTGCCAACGTTTTCTGCAACGTTCGCAATGGCCGAGGCTCGTACGGGAGTTGGCAAGCAGTGCGCCGCTGCCCGCCCCTATAGCCCATAGCTTGCACTCTCTCGCACTCTCCGGCTTAGCTTAGTGTGAGCTCAATGGCTAATCGAGGCTGGGAGCGATGTCCCTAGGTCTATATAATTGCTTGCCACCTCGAAAAGACCTTCTCTGAAACGAGTTGTAGACCTATACCAGAAACCATTAAACAATGTTCGTCAGTAATAGATTTCGTATTTACTGTTAGCATATATTCTATTATTGCAAACGCCTTC